CTGAAAAAAATGCCCTGAGCCTAAACTATCTACAAGCACTGTGTCGAGTTTACATTGGGATCTGTAGACAGAAGAAATACTGGGAGAAGGCTCGCATCCTGGTCTACAGCATTCTTGTTGAAGGTGGACAGTTTTTTTTCTTCATAAAATACCTGTTACATGTGTATTTTTTTTATTTTATTTATTTTATTTTTTTATACTTAAAAATACAATTGGGCTAAAAATCTAGACTATAAATTAATCCCCAAATCTTTTTCCTTAAGCCTTGATTTTTTTTTCTATTTAACCTTCAGTGTGTTGATTCATTTTATGTTGTTTTAGATTTTCCAGATTCAGCGAAGCTAGTTCTGTTTATGGTGACAACATGGCCGAATGTTCTATCTCACAGTAGTTTACTGTGCCAGGCCATTCATTCCATCACCCAACTGAAAACACCAGAAGGGCTTCATGGTTGCCTTTCCACTTTTCTTGGATGGGAAAAGGTATTTTCTGATTTAAAGATAGGCCTGCATTCTTCTTTTTTATGACAGTGTAGATTTTTGTAACGGTCCTTAAATTGTAAAATAAAACATTTTACCCCCTCCTTGTAGGTTGGGATACAATTAGTTTATATTTGCTACCTAAGTCTTGAGTGATTTCCTGAAACCATGTCTTCCTTTCTTTTATCTCCACAGAATCCTCCTTGTGATGCTGACCAGCTGATCCTCAGAACTCTGGAGGAGCTCTGCTCAGGTTCCAATCAGTCTTTCATCAAACACATCCGCTATGGAGAAGACCTAGGAACTGGAGCTTGGGAACAAATCTTCACACTGCACCTCTTGTGTTCACAAAAAAAGTGGAAATGGACCTATGAACGCATTCTGGGGTGAGCTCATTTCTACCCCTAAAAATATGACCTGTCGTTGTTTTGATAATTGAAAGTTTGATCATTGGAGGAGTGTTGGCCTAGTGGGTTGGAACAGTGCTATTGTGCTCTGAGAAGAATGCAAGTACCTGGTTTGATCCCCACAGCCTCCACTCTGGGTTCTTGAGCAAAAACCCATAACCCCTGATTGCTCCCCGGGTGCCACACCATGGCAGCCCTCTGCTTCCCAAAGGGATGGGTTAAAATGCAAATGAGGACAAATTTCCCCATTGCGGGACAATAAACCGATTTTTCCTTTTTACATAATTTCAGTGTAATTTTCCTTTTCTACTACAGAACAGGACCATACAAGTCTTTTTTAGTTTATTAGAATTTTACCTAAAAGTTTTTTTGTTTGTTTATTTTAAGAGATTTAAAGTAAGAAATTTAAGAGATTCTTAAAGTAAAAAAAAAACATCCTACATAGATTATTACACATGAGGGGAGTATTTTTAAGTGTTTATTTCAGTTCATTTTGATCCCCATGGCTTACAGCTAAGGGGAAATTCATAATAGAAAATGTAATAAATATTAAAAAGATCATATTTAATAAAGGAGGTTATATTGTCATATTAGGGTCTGAAAATAACTGGGAAGACAGTTGGCTTGACATCTTTCAAGCAAACATTATCTAACACCACAGAGCAGCATAATAGAAGGTTGAGTGGAAGTTAGAAATATGATGGAAAAAGGTCTCATTGGGGACTTTTTAGCGAGGACCTATAAGGACTGTAGAAGGAACGCTACTCAAATTGGAGAAAATGTAAAATCTTGGACGGCAGGTCGACTCACCATAGACAGACATATAGGCAGTACTTTACATGGACTGGTACGAAGTACCATCACATTGAGATGTTATCCTTCAACATATCCACACTTTTTTTTTTTAAGTGCAGGGCACATACAGGGAACTTTTAAAATTAGAAACATTCTTATTCTTCATCATAAATGGCAATTCACTGCTCACCTGGCATACATGTAGTGCTTTCTGAATTTTCAGCTAATATTAGGGACATTCAGTAAAATGTTTGAGCCTATTGGGTAAATCAAGTAGCTTTTAGCTAATCGCAGCAGCAGTAGCAGCTGTAACACATAACACAGCAAGCGGAGTTAACAGATGAATAAAAACTCTTACAAAATCTGGTCAGGATTTGACTTTGGACTTGAGAGAAGCCAAAGTTAAAGTAAAAAAAATGAGGCTCTCTACCAGAAATGCTCCCGCTGCTCACAAGCTTTATGGACATGCCGATTTTAATATCCAACAGGAACTGGCACCTGACCACTCTGCCATAAAGTACCCGCACCTGCATGGTGATTGTGCTGGATTGCTCACCTGACCTAAAAAAAAAAAGTTTTTTTTTTCTCCCTTTATTTCAATTTTCAAAAGGACACGGTGAAAACATATAAGTGAAAGCCCTTTGGGAAACTCCTCCAACTCCCATTGTCATTGTGACACAGCACACCCAAGTGAACACTGCACACTGTGAAATTGCATTTATGCCTCACCCGTGCAAGGGGGCAGCCCTCAATGGCGCCCCAAGGGAGCAGTGTGGCGGGACGGTACCATGCTCAGGGTACCTCAGTCATGGAGGAGGATGGGGGAGCTTGTTACACAAGTCCCAGTTTAAACCAAATTATATTTATAAAGAAAGTTGCAATGCATGCACTTCATATGATCTTAAGGCATGACTGCTGAATGCACTAATGGATCATTGGCCGATACAAGAAAAAATGCCAATTTCAGCCAGAAATATTGATGTCTTTTTTTATTTGATATTACCAGCAAATTTCACTCTTTTGACCACTATTGAATTGATCTTAATACCTATATTAAATTTTCAGCAGTTTTCCGTATTTGTAAGCTTTCAAATAAGCTCTTGAAATATGTCAGTTTTTAATTTAAGGAATCTCTAAAATAACTGATAAAATTAAACTTTCATGATATTCCAATTTCTTAAGAATTTGTTTTTCCTTTGCTCACCGCTCATTTTATTCTAATAGCAAAGACCTGTGGCCATTGATGAACTCCTGGGTTCTACAGCCAAGAGATCAGCAACAACCTATCCGAGATGAGACTGTTGCCACTGTACTACGACTCATAGGTCAGTGGCTTTTACTCTGTTTGTATATTAATGGCAACAGGAACCAATGTGTGAAATAGTTTCAACTAGACAGAGAAGAATCTAATTACATTTGTTTTTAAACAGGACGTCTCACCCAGTTAGGCCTTAAAGAAGGTTGTGTGTCCTCTGTGGTCACTGTGGCCAATATTATCAACACGTTTGGAAGGCATGGACAAGCTGAAGGTTGGAAGCTTCTATCATATCAAATAGATTTAGTTCAGCTGTATTTGACTTGAAACATTTAATAAATATCCCATCAATTGGTCAAGAGATATGGTTATGTACTCCAAGTGTTGTGACGCTGTGATATCGTTTTGCAGGGTTGCCATGGACGGTCCAGCTAGCAGCCGTTTACTGCATATATGAACTTTCTCCCTGTAACCCCAAACAAGCCCTGGATGCTATTGCTGGGTGGAGAGGAGAGGCTGCTCAGAGTGTCCCTCCTGCCGTCACAAGTTGCATTAATCAAATAGCATCCATATGCAGACAAGTCAAGAGCTAAAAATGTACATAGCCACATTAGCTATAATTTTTGTATGTAACTATTTTAAAGAAAGGAGAACTACCTCAATTAACATCAGGCACAACGACTGATTAAAAGGTTTTTGCTCTTTGTGATACAGGATGTATTGAATGCCATTTTAATTTGTTTTTTTCTAATTTGAAGATATCTTTAAATACCTTGAAACTTTATAAATGTGTTTTAATTGCACTTGTATCGGTAGTGTTTCAGGCAAAATGTCCTTTTTTTATTTTTCCTGCTACATCCTGTAAAAATTGCACTTGAACTACTTGAGTTTGTACAATTCTCTGCTAACACTGTAAATACTGTATAACGTGTACAGTTTGATAAAGTTAAACTACTAAGCTAGTGTAAATACATGGGTATCTACATTTCCGTTGATGCATGAGTAAATGTTTTGTACAGTTTTCCTCAAAGCTTTCTATTTTTTTTTCTAATTAAAATTAACAAATTTTTAACTGATTTTTTTTTCTCTGTAATTTCTAGTCATCAGTCTTTTCCTAATGTGCTTGTTTTAATGTTCGACACTCACTTCCAGCCATGCCCTCCAATAATAGCAATTATGTAATGGTATTTCAAAAAATATACATTTTTTTTTATTTACTAAATCCTTTGTGTGTTTGTAGATGCTTAAATCCCCTTCAAATTTCAAAAAAGTTTTTTTTTTCTTTTTTTTTTTTAACCTAAATTCAAAGTTTACCAGTCCAACTTGTTTTAAAGTATTTTTTTATTTGAATATTCAGTCATTGGAAAAATGTTTAGACTACCTTAATTTTTTTTTAAAGTAGTTCTAAAAGTATATTTTATGGAGAAAACGGTGAACAGAAAGAAAGGAATTGACCTAACATGCTTCTACTGCCTTAAAAAAAAAAAAAAAAAAAACTATCTAGGGTTTATTGGTCTATATCAGAGCAGTGGTGTTTGACAAGTTAGCAGACACTCAGCATTCATTTCCGGTTTTGACCGCCAAAATAAAACCCATGGACAGCTGTGCATAGTGAGCATATTACGGTAAACCAGTTTAAAAATGTCTTCATTTTAGAAAAAACATTGTTAGGTATAAATTGCTAAAAAAAAATAATAAAATAATTGATCATTTCAATTCAGTTTATTTATATGGCGCCAATTCACAACATGTGTCATCTCAAGGCACTGTACAATTCAGCAGATCATACATTCAAATTAAATCAAAGTTTTCTATCTAAGGAAAATCAGTTTATTGCATCCACTCATTGACCCCACACTAAGCATGCTAAGTGGGTTAATTTTAAATTTAACAGTTCATCACCATCCATGTTTTATACTCAACATTATTGTAGTGTTACAGTTAAATACAGTAATTAAAACCAAAAACAGGATTTAGTAGTTGGATGCTATAAAGTTGAACTACCATATTGAACCTAACTTCCGGTCTTAGTAAATTGACGAGGCGCTGAGGGGGTGTGTTCAAAGATTTAAATCCCTCACAGATGAGCGGTTGATGAACCGTGGTGCTGGTAGCGCCATATTGGCTGCCTTTTAAGGGGAGAGGAGAGTTTGGCCGAACCGCTTAACAAACCCAACCGGTCTCCAGACATGAAGCCGTTCAGAAACATCCTCTAAATCGGTACCGCCTGATTTTTCGTCTGGTAGGGAGTCAAACTGCAAAGTTGCTTACATTTTTCTTTAAATCGTTTCTGCTGGGGGAGCTTTTAGCTGAACTAGAGTCCAATGGATAACGGAACGGCTTGGATCCAGCCGGAGCAGAAGGGACTGGCCAATTATTCCATGTGGATGCAGCTTTGGGAGACCTCACACGCTAATGCTGGCCTCCAGCCTCACCACCAGCGCAACTTTGCGGTACAAAACACCAACTTGGACTCTTACGGCAAGAGCTACAGGCATGTAGCTCCAACACCTGGGACTGCGTTTGGGAAGCTGCCGCGGGCAGACGACGGCGGAGAGAGGGGAAGTGTCCGGAGGAAGGGCTCGTTGTCGCCGTCCTCTTCCTCTCTGGACTCGGAGGCCGACAGCTCCTCTCCCCACGGCTCTTTGCTTCAAATTGACAATTTGAACGCCGCAGACGAGGCCGAGCAGTTTTTACACAACGGTGAGCAGAAGGTGAAGGAGAACAACCTCCGACAGCCTCTTCATGTTCAGCAGCACTGTCGCAGCAAGCAGCCGCCCGGCGGCCACACCCCCACCGGGATGAAGAACCAGCAGCAGCAGCACTATCAGCCCCATCACTCCGGCCGCAGGAGGCAGCTGAACAGGGCCAACACTTTCCACGGCTTCAACCCGCTCCTCTCCTACTGCTTCAATGGCCTGGACTCTTCCTACAGCCTGTGGAAAACCAGGCGATACAGCCCGGGCGTTAATGGGTGAGAAGGCATACTGTTTTAATAACAAGTATTTATTTTTGATTAATTGAGAGAACGCTGTCTCATTTAGAGTTGGAACATTTCTTGTATTTTTTAAAATGTTTTCTTTCAGTCTGCATGAGGAAATAATGGACTTCTTCAGCTTCATGTCACCCAGACCTGAAGAGGAGGCCATCAGAAGGGATGTTGTGAACAGAATTGAAAGTGTCATCAAGGATTTGTGGCCCACTGCTCGGGTGAGTGGGACAGAAAAATAATAAATTATATGACAACCCCTCTTATAACAAAATCTGTGACCCGTCATGTAGGGTAACCATTTTATGAGATTAGCTTTAGGTTGGAATCCTCTGAAGTTAAAGGTTAGTGGATGGCAGACTGCTGAGGAGGACGCCTTCACAAAAGAAACTTCATTTTCTTTTGCTATTCCTTTGCAAACCTTTTGGTTGTACCTATTTAACTGCCTTGGTTTTTCTGTTTTGGCTCTAATATTCCTCTGAACAAATTCTTAAAGATACTGTGGAGGATTTCAACTGTAAAAAAAAAAAAAAAAGACCCATCCTCTCCACTTAAAAAAAAAAAATGCACAACCCTCTTAGTGCCTATTAAACGTGTGGAAGAGCATGCACAAGCCCATTTCTTCTCGTGCATGCCCTAAATCCCTCAATCACTTTATAGAGCGGGGGCCATATAGTGGACTTAAGGGCAGATTATACTTCTGCAACCACACACATTGTCGCTTGGGTCTGTTTGCGAACCAGTTTTGCTGGTATGCTTCTGCACCGTCGGTCGGGAATTTCTAGGGAGGCACAGCAGTTTCCCTCCAAAGCGCAAGGGGAAGCCTATTCGAGAACTCGCGAGAACTTTGGCAGTGCCGGCGGGAGTGTTTATCGTCCAAAACAACAATGGCAGATCTACAAGATGTCACAGAGATGGATCTATAGTTGCTAGACATTGAAGAGGAACAGGTTCTGTTAATGGAGTTGGCAGAAAGACTGATTAACCTTTCGGTGTAGTTGTTTCTTAGTTTTTAAAAATGGCGCGCCCTGGCACAGAATCGAGAAGGACGGCCGCACAGACAGCTGGAAAGGCATACCAAGGACCAATCACAGCTGCTTTTTGTCTGCGCACTTTCGCTTGATGTGTGCGTGGGTTTGCAACCATCCGACTTGTAGTCTGGATTTTTTTTTTTTAGGTGTGCGACGACGTTTGCACACCCTCGGCCCGGGGGGGCGTGGTCACGCACAGAGACAGATTTGACGGTTGCAGAGGTTATGCGTCAAAGCATAAATTGGCCTTGGAACAGTGAGCTCAGTTAACTGATCGTTCAGACGGATGATCACTCCTTTTTGCTCCCTGTCGCCCAAGTAACTCCTCCTCCACTGCATGGTGCCTGCGCCATCTTTATTAGTCGCTGCTGTATTGTAGCGACAACCTAAGCTGACAGCAAATCCCATAATACTTTGAGAGGAAACCTCTCCGCGCAAAGCATTCTGGGATATATCTGCCTCTTCTGAGGCCTTTCTTTTCTTCTCATACACTTAGACACTTTTTCTCTTACGACCCTCGGCCAGTCTCAAAGAACCACGGTGAGAAAGCTGAGCTTCAATGACTGTATGAAACCATAGCTAAACACAGATATACGCCTGAAAGTGCGCATGTGCAGAAAAAGGTAGCTAACGGGACAAGCACGTAGGAAGGCTTTGCGTAAACGTGTCACTAGAATGATTGACTATTTTGAGGAGCACTTATTTAGATGATATACCCGGAATTAAAAGATCATCCTTTATACCTTAAGTTAAAAACCTACAGGTACCTTCGCTGTTTCAATCATAAATGATTGTGCTCCCATTATTACACCATTCCCTGCATGTTGTTTTTACAACATTTCTGTACTATTACCGTGCCACTATTACATTAATGTAAGACCCCTATACCAGGAGTTAATTTAGGATATCTTTACACCAGACAAACCATGCTTTGTCATTACTATGGAAAAGCTAAATGCTAATTCTCAAATGACTCATTTAAGTGGTTTCCTGGGAAATTGAAATGCCTATATAGGTTAATTCTAGAAATCTACTGATGCACATTCTTTTTTTGTCTTTTTTTTTTATAAAGGGATCCATGGCTGATATTTTTTGTAATCAAGTCTCATCAATCCCAAAGAACAAATGTTATCAATGTGACAAATAGAGAACTATATATATGCATTTCAGAAGATCTCAAAGCATGGCTGCTAAATGCGCAAATCTTGTTGCTTATACAAATTCGGCCGTCTGATGTGTGGGTCTACATGTAGTTGGTTTGATAGAAGAATCCTATTTTTGTTTGATCGCAAAAGAAAAAGGGAGACTTCACACCTAATTTTTAAGTAATCAGTATGGAGAGCTTCTGTCAAAAAACATACATTTACTACTTTCATCTGTATTCCCAGTCCTTCTTCGAAGCCTTAATGTATGATTGGTTTTACACCTGAAACCCTTGCAGAAAAACATCTGTCTCTGGTGGTTTGGTCTAAAAATGTTTACATGTATTTGATGTAAGTAATGTTTGAATGGTTTAATCTTTCTCCAGGTGGAAATCTTTGGCAGCTTCAGCACAGGACTATATCTCCCTACAAGGTATTTTTTTATTTTTTGGTTAATTTGGCTGCACATCTATCAATGCACTTTTTTTTTTTGTTATCACAATGCATCTGTTAGATACATTTGTAATTTCCAATGACTAAATAAGCCACTGAAGTTCTGCTAGTTTACTTATTCTACATCCTGCTTTTCTTTTATTAAACTAAACCTATAGTAAAGGCTAAATTAATTTTTGACACAATTCCTCATTCTTTGAAGTATAGAAAACTGTATATCATTTAGATTAGTTTTATACAGCACTGAGTATATTATCCATATAGGGTAGGGAGCAATAATTCCTTTTCCCTTGCATTAACTTGCCCTCGGTTGGATTAGTTGGATAAATGTTTACTTTTAGCAGAGTGGAGGATAAAATTACTAGATGCAAAATTTATTGGCAACAATCCCTGTGCAAAAATATTTACCTCAGGTATAGACACAAACATTAAGCAGGTTGATTATGCCTACATGTGTTTTTTTTTTGTCCCTTCAGTGACATCGATCTAGTTGTGTTTGGGAAGTGGGATCATCCCCCATTGCAGGATCTGGAGCAAGCCCTGAAGAAACACAATGTGGCTGGCAGCTATCCAATCAAAGTCCTCGACAAAGCTACTGTGAGTCATTTAAAGATGTTTGTTTGTTTTTACTTTAAAAACTTATTCTATAACATGTTGAAGGTTCAGATGCTTAACCCCTTTTTATAAAATTTCTATGCTTCAAATCTTAGGTTCCAATCATTAAACTCACCGATCATGAGACCAAAGTGAAAGTTGACATCAGCTTCAATGTGGAGACTGCTGTGAAAGCTGCCCAGTTCATTAAAAGCTACCTTAAGGTCAGTTTCATGTAGGTCATGTTTTCTGACGGGGCAATATATGATGGTTTGGTAACATGCTTTTTTCTCTCCTTTTGTTTCGTTAGAGATACACTGTTCTTCCACCATTGATCTTCGTCCTGAAGCAGTTTCTGTTGCAGAGAGATCTAAACGAAGTCTTTACTGGAGGCATCAGCTCATATAGCCTTATACTAATGGCTATCAGCTTCTTGCAGGTGCGCATTCAGTATTCAGGCAGAACTCGGTCAATATATAAAAAAGGGTTAAAACTTAAAGCTGGAACAATTTATCTATTAATGTGGCCAAAGAGTGATAGCATTTATTTAAATGCTGTTTCTACTAAATCAGCCTGCATTTACTCATAAGGGTTTAACTTCGCTGACATTTGTTAAAATATTACCGCAAGGGACCTTTCAGGCCACTCAGCCTGTAAATGTGTCAACGATTACTTTTTTTTTTTTTTTTTTTTCAGAATGCTGCAAACATGCACACCAGTGGTAAAACATCATGCAAGGGATAAAAAAAAAAGGTTAAAGGAAAAACTTTTATCTTTGAAAACTACCACACAACTAGATCTACCTTTACCTGAACCTGGTCTGCCATTGAATGTATGCAGTTTTTCTAAACTCCAATGTTTCCTGTTTTTAATTCTATTAAGTTGGAGCAGTAAAATGATCAAATGCAACGCACCATTTCATAAAAAAAAAAATGAATCTAAAGGTTTCTGGGTTTTTTTTTTTTGTTTTTTTTTTTAAAGATCAATGTATTTTAGTTTCTTCTTGCATTTAGATCCTTCCTATTGGATGGCCATATTTATTTGGATTGTATTATAGAGCTCTTTTATTGCAGAGTGTTGGAATAATTAAGATATTGAAATAAATGCAGTTTATGGATAGAAGTAAATTTTTGTTGTTTAACAATTTCTTTATTTTTTAAAGATGGTGCAGATATTTAAGCTGTCTGGGGAGAAAATATATATATTCTGGTTTTAACGTTCAGTAATTGTTTGTGTCCTGCTCACTAGTTACACCCTAGGATTGACACACGGCGCTCCAACATAAACCTGGGCATTCTGCTGATAGAGTTCTTTGAGCTTTATGGTCGCGATTTTAACTACATGAAAACGGGAATCCGGGTGAGAAATGGAGGAGCTTACCTGTCCAAAGAAGAGATGCTGAAAGCCATGGGTCATGGAAACCGGCCCTCCATGCTCTGCATAGAGGATCCTGTACAGCCAGGTCTGACTTTGATCGTAAAGTATAATTAAATGGAGCATTGTGTTATTGGGGATAATGAATACTTTTATTTAAAGTGTCAGTGCAACCAAATTGAATATGAAAATATCTGCAACAATAATGACCATCAGGTCCGGTAATAAGTCTCAAGCTAATCCAGTTACTATCAGGCCGTAATTGCTTCGATTCAACATGAAAATTAATTGTCCGTCCTAATATTTGTCTCTCTTGTGAGTACATGCTCATTCATGTGTGTTGGGGAGAAGTAAACATTTGCTGGTTATCAGTGGATTGACCTTTTCAGCTATGATTAAAATCATTTTAATTGGAGTTATTGGCATTCCTTTAGTTGGTAGCTGCTGTTAGAGATTACATAAGATTTGGTTTAACTCCATTTAAATATGTCTGATCCCACTGATCTCTATGTTCTGATCCCAACAGGAAACGATGTTGGAAGGAGTTCATATGGAGTCCTGCAAGTCAAGCAGGTCTTTGATTTTGCATATCTTGTTTTAAGCCATGGTTTATCTCCTCTTTGTGCATATCCAAACAGAGAGTATGACAGGTTGGTTATACTTTTTTGTGCACTAACAGAACACCAAAGTGGATTACAGTGGAAATAATCCAGCTCCTCTGTTCATTTGGTCATTTCAGCACTTTAGGACGGATCGTTAAAGTCAGCCCAGAGGTGTTGGCCTACAGGGAATGGATAATCAAGACGTGGGGTGCCAAACAGAGTGCCAAGCTGGAAAACAATGGTAAGTCTGTTCTGCCTTGTAAATGCATAAATGCTCTGGATCTTCAAATTTTCTACCAATAAAGCTTAGGACTGATTTTAAACATCAGTCCTAAGCTTTACAGTTTTATATCCTAAACGAAGAGACGAGATGTTTGTGTCGTCCTCATGGTTTTACTGAGTTTCAAAACATTACAAGAAACGGAATAAAGTTAATAACTAATGTACATTTAAACAGGCTATGCTTCCTGCTAGTTATGCTGTGACCTGCCCCCTTTATTTTCAGACAAACCAGCGTTAGGATTAAAGTTGTAGTGGAGGATTTTCGCGAATCTTTGAAAGGACCCGCCCTCTTCACATGCACAACCCTGTACCCGCTCCCGAGAGGGAACGTCTATTAAACGCGTGCACGAGCCCACTTCTCCTCGTGCACGCTCTGTTTAAAAGTTGCTGTTTGCATTGCTCATAAAGCTTACTTTCCGAAAGATCTGCAATTTTTCCACTATGTCACTCGCCACCGGTAAGTGAAAATGGAGACGAGCACGTAGGACAGCCTTACGTAAACATATCACCAGAATGATTGACAATTAGGGGACTACTTATTTTAATGATAGGCCCGAAAAAAAGATCATCCTCCACTATACCTTTAAGTCTAAATGCCTTCAGCGCTCTATCAGGCTCACGCAGTCTTCCTCACAGACCTGTGCTGCACCAGAAAGTGTGACTATTAGTCAGCCTTAATGCTGGAAAAGTGAAGTCAAAACTCTTATCTGAAGGATTGTGTTTGGGTTTTAGATGTGGAGACCTGTGAGCAGGAGCTTTCTAGAATGATGCTGATTGAGGATCAAAGGGATTCCCCGTCTCCCCTGAGCTCAGACTCTCCTTCTCCAGTGTTTCCTCCAAGCCCGCAACATCATTCCTCATCTTCCTCAGCTTGCTCACTTTCTTCATCTTCCTCTGGAAGCGACATTGTAAGAATACATCATTTTTCTAAAAAAATTTTGTTGATGACTTATGTGTGATGGTTAATCATTATTTAGCCACTAAGTCAATTTTGTTCTGTAAGTGAAACTTAAAGACTGAAGTTGATACAAGTTCATTCTGATGACAACGCTGAAATGTCGGCTAAAAAAGTTAAAACAAACCACAGTTTGTTTTAACTTTTTAGGATTGACTATGACCTGAATGACTGAGAATCTTAACCAGCGTACAGAAATGTGGGCCTAAAAGAATACAGTGCATCCGGAAAGTGCTTAGTGTTAGACTTTTCCACATTAAATTATGTTATTCCAAATGTGAATAAAAATAATCTTTGCTCAAAATTCTACTACAATATTTTGTAATAGAAAATTAAAACCCCATTTCTGTACTGAAAGCCTTTTCTTTGAAGCTCAAACTGAGCTGAGGTTCATATCCTGTGGTTAGACTGAACACCTCCCTCTATTCCTCATAGCAAGTTGGGTTTCGACCTCTTGACTCTTTCTCCAGAATATGAGATTGGTTTCACAATTGAACAATTTCTTTTTAAAAAAGGAGTGTTGACTTGGAGAATCATTCCAGCTTAAAAAATGGCTGACTTCTTTAATGTTTTGACACAGAATTGTAGGCCATGTCTGGGACATATTTGTCTGCAATAGCTGTAGATTGTTGTTCTTGTCATAACATTGCAAGAACATGTTAATATTTAAAATGCTCCTTTTGTGGGTCCTAAAACTTGTATACATTTTTTCTCCATTGGCTGCAAGCCAAAATCATCAAAATTAAAATAAACACTGAATATTTCACCCTGTACATGAGGTCAATGATGAAATTCTAACTGAATGGCACTCCTCTACCGATTTCTAAACTTCAAGCGTCTTCTTTGTCTCATCAGGAGTCTGACTCTCCAAAAAGTAGCAATGGTTTTATCCAGCTCCACCCGCTAAACTTGGCTTTAATCCAGATGGCTGCAGACCCAGGGGCCACACATCCAGCAAGCTTTATCCACGCTCCACATCAGGTCAGTTCACAAACAAAATACCTTTGGCACTTATTTAGACCTGATAACAGCCCTGGTTGAAATCTTATTTAACCTTTTATTTTTTTTGTCCCCCTACATTCAGATCTCTCTTCCAGAAAACTTTACCATCCTGCCGTCCGATAGCCAGTTCTACCACGAGAACCCTCCTTCTATTAACATTGTGCACCGTCACACAGCACAAGCTCCACAATTCCCCCGGCATTCTAAGCCTGCCAGCCCTCTCCTTACACATCTCCACCACTCTCAGGTTGGAGGGCTGCTGCGCCACCCGTACGCCCAGAGATCTTATTCCCAAGGCTCACTGGAGCCCCACAAGTTTGGCTCCAAGCACAACCAAGTTGGTAGCTTCCAGTGCCATAATCCCTCTCAAGGCAACTTGGGTCTGCAGCACCGGTTGGTTTACCAGACGCACATGGTGTCATGTTTCAAAAACCAGCAGCAGCAGTACAACCGTAAGGCTTGGCGACGCAGGAAGAAAGACATTAGTCCCACTTTGAACCAGAGCCAATGAAAGACGTCAGCGGTAGCACATGTTCTGTTGCGAAGAGGTATTTAAAGCGAACATACAATGATGGAAGGCTTTTCCCATGGCTTACTAGGACCATGTAAAAAATAATAATAAAACCTCACCATGCTCATATTGTTCTATCAGTCTGAAACAATGTCCCTTTCACCAGCATAAACTCAGTTGATGAATTGGTGATTACCAGACTGGGGCTGCCCTCAGCAGTCTCCTCTCCAAATTAGAGCTATAGTAAGTATATAATGTCCATGGAGCCTAAACATCGTGTGCCATAGTATTGTGGTTCATCAAGCCTGACGCTTCTTGAACTTTTAATTCTTAATGAGCCTTTTTCATCATTAGGTTTCGCTCTTCTGAATGTTTCTCCCTCTTTTGTTCCAATTCCTTTTCAGAGCTCTTAAGCGTTCTGCATATCTACAAATTTTACTCTGGACTTGAGCAAAGCACTACACTTTTTCTTCTACCTATGCAGCGCAATGCTGACAATGTTACTAATGTGACGGCACAAAACTGACATTGTCTTAAGTGCTAACACTGTGAGGACTGGTTTGAATGTACACTTTTGTGTGTCTGTGTCATAAATTTATTTTCTCATTTTAGACTCACCAGGATTTTTAACATGTTTTGTTTTTTTCCACATTGGTTTAATTGTTCTTCTCTATGCTGCAGACTGTAGCACCTTATTTTATTTCTTTCTTTTTTTTTCCAACATGTGCAATATTTACTGGATTTTATTTAATTTATTTCACATTTTATTTGATTCTTTGTTTTGGTCTTTTTAAGCCTGTATTGATGTGTGCAATAGAGGGGTTAAGGGCCTAGTGAAATGTGTGTGTGAATGTGTGTGTGTGTGTGAGAGGCCTTCCAGCAGGGGGCGATACGGTAGAACGTGCCATAAACCCTTGACTGAAACATTTTCCCACTTGAATTTTCTGCACGAACACTTGAATTTTGCCAACTGCCTATCCAAAAAGTTTTTCCACAACCAATTTTTCTTTGAAACATATTACTATATAGCCCGTTATATTTATCAGAGCTAAAACCATCTTCAGCCATGTTTACATCTTGTGTAACTTCAGAAATAGTTGGTGCTATTTTATACCAGCAATGTGCTTGTTTTCTGCCTTATAGATGCTCTGATTCTGTTGAAGCAGGAGGTTAACTGCCTTCTTAACTGACCAGATCTGTTTTTTTTGTTTTGTTTGTTTTTTTTTTAACTGTGTAGCCAGAGCTTTCTTTATACATTTTGTAAGCACTGCCAGGGTTACATTGCTTTTATTTATTACACCTTTAGGTGCCAGCTCCTGCAGTCTAAAATGTCTGTATGACATTTTTTTTTTCTTATTTTTCTAGAGCAGTCAGAAAAAGGTCTTAAAATTCTCTTCTCATAGTTACATTAATTTTACAAGGCCAGTGTAATCTAAGATGTTTTGGTCAAGCCACAACAAAAACCTGAGGGTTTGTTTCAAAAGTTAAACCCTGGTCCTATGGAGCAAACCCCAAATGGATTTTCTTTTCATTATTTCTTTGGTTGTTTTCTTTTTTTTTTTTTTTTTTTTTTTTTTTTTTTCTCAGAGCTGCCTTTTAATACATTATCTAAGATGCGACATCATACCGAATTCCCACATCAGAGTAGGAAGATTGGCTGTAATGTGTAAATTTGCATTTCAATGTATCTTTTTTTTATGCAAGTTTTTCTATTTTTTTAATAAATGTTTAAAAAGAAACATATATTTGAGTCATCTTTTTTCCTAAGTGACTATTCCAATGGCCTAATTATCTAAGAGTTTACTTTGTGTGTAATGCTACCAATTACACACAAGGTAAACTATTTTACAGAAAAAAAAGAAGGTGCTAAATGTCTTTTCCATAAAATGTATTCATTTGTTAAAAATATGCATCACATAGAAATTAAAAATTTAAATACAAAAAATTTATGACACGAATAGCATGTGATGTGTAAGTTTATGATTTTTGTAATGCCTTTTGCTCAGGACTCATTAACATTTATAAAAATCAAATCTCCTTTTATGCAGACGTATAGATCTTGAATTCTTAACAGTCTAGTCTGGTGGGAGAGAATTTCAATCCAGACATGTTTCTCCTTGGCGCTGTTGGGGCTCTACCTTTCTTATATCTCATTCCAAAATAGCTAGCTTATCCTGATCTGTGTTCTGTATTCTGGGATGCTGGATAACATAAGGGCCGTTTTTTCTCTATTCTCCCACTCTGCTGAATTATTCACTCATAACTTTGCTCTCTCATGCTTTTTCTCAACATAGTAGCTTTTTCTGGTTCTTTCGTGTTTGGTTGTGACTCCATCCTGGATTAAAATATCAACTGCTGTTGTCATTGGAATCTCTATTCCTAGAGAGCTTGGCCAGTTACAACTGTAGTCCTGTTTCTTTTACTGTGACTAGCAGAACTGGCTCGGAGCTCATCTTTCCTGGACTGGGCTGCCTGTGGTGCTGGTTGACCGTTACCTGGTTGGTTGACAGTATGTTTGATTCTGTCTCCTTGAGCCCCAGTTGGCCTCAGCAGATTGCCGCTCACACTGAGCCTGGTTCTGCTGGAGGTTCCTTCATGTTTAAAGGGAGCTTTTTCCTCTCAACTGTCGCTACATACTTGTTTGGTTTGAAGGATTGTTGAAGAGTCAACATCAAAATGCGACCGAAGGTGGTTGTCACGTGCAGATAGTGCATGTTGTTCGAGTCAGTGGCTGGATGCAATCAACTGGTTTTCCTAGCAAATCTGAAAGTTTTCTCATTAAAGTGCCTTGAGATGACTTTTTGTGAATTGGGGCTATATAAATTGATTTAATTGAATAAAGGTAACCTGACGATGGAGGTTTGAGGCTCCACTTGTATGTTTTTGCTTAATTTTTTATTGCTAAGTGGCAGGCAGATTCTCATTTACCAATCAGTGTTTTTAGTTAAATATATAGAATTCAATGCTCTAAATATTCTTATATATAAAAAATAATTTTGTCTAGATATGTTCAAGTGAAAAAGAAATAAAGCACATAAATAATAAGCAGGGATAGTTTTTGGAACCTTTGTAGTTGCTACTGTGTAGCCTTAAAATGCCAACTAAAGTTTTATTGCGGGGAAAAAGAAATGTTTGTTTGTCCAGCTTCTGCATCTGTTCTTTTTAATCTTGTGCTGTTTCTATGATCAAAAAAACAAAACAGGACATCCAGCTTTTTATCTGTAAAATATCCTATTGTCAAGTAACTTACGTTTTATTGAGCTAACATTTTTCTTTTGACAAAACAGAATAAATATTTCCTCTTTTAAGGCAGCATGAGTTTTACTGTCTTATTTTCAAATTCAGAGACACATCTTCTGCCAATCAAATATACAAAAAAAATTGGGGGGGCTTATGGGGAATTCCTATGAAAATGGTGAATCTTTAAATTTTGATTCCTTATATTGACTTTTTTTTTTTTTTTTTTTTTTTGAAGAAGACGCAATAGAATTAGATGAAATATCCTAAAAGATATTCTCTCTTATTTCTGCTTTGATTTGCCTATTTTCTTATTCTGCATTGTCATGGAGCCTGAGCTTGTAATCCCTCATACTTACTGAGGGGGGCACTGTTGGAGCATAGCCTGCCACAATAGCATCAAATCCACTCTTGGATCTAGGAAACATGACAAAGGGAGTTATTCTGAACAAGAACACCCAGTAAAAAGACTGGTGGGCTGGTGTCTGCATATTTTCATTTTTTTTTTTTTTTTGTCCGTTGCACTCTTTGGATTTAGATTTGCTGACTATGCCACCAGGAAACTAGAGCATAAATTCACTTTCTTTTAATGTCATCCCTGATAATTACATAGTGGTAATATTTTGGTACAGCTACAGCTCATAATATTGTTAAAAGCCAGCTCTATGTCCTGATGGATATATTATCCTGATTAGATGAGCTCAGGACAGCACTGAAACCTAATAATATTGGATATCTGCAGAGAAAAATGACCACACCCAGCAGAGAGGATGCACCTCAGAGAAATTTAGTCCCCACTGTGAATCTTGTTTACCCATGCAGGCAAAGTTGAACCATTTCCATCTCCATCTAAATGCATGTCCCCACTCAAATCAATGATGTCCAGTCCCTTCAGGGGGTGGATGGTGGAGAAGTAGCCTGCTGCAGATATTTGTAGTCACTTAACAGTTGTATTCCTTACAGAAGGAAAACAAAATCACTGCAGTAGAAACGGCATCATTGTACCAAATTCCCAAACATCTCTATGGGGGAAAAAAGAGAAAAATGTTCACTCCCTAACTCCCTCCTGACCTAACTTCAGGAGAACAAAATGTTAGCTGTTTGTAACTTTTACTCCCCAATCAATACATCACAAAAGTGTTAAAACCCCTCAGACTGAAAAGAACTCAGAAATCCTATCCTCCACATCCCAGAGGCAATAAAGACAAAGGTTCACGCAAGTGCCAATCTATAGTTTTGGACTCTTTGCAGCTTTTAGTTTTTTAGTGTTGATAGTTAAATATGATTTGTACTGCACAACAACAAAAAGCCCACTTAAGCACTCACCAATAAGATATGATTGGCTGTTAATCTAATTTAATATTGTTGTAAAATGCAGTACACACTAAGACAGCAGTAAAATAAATGGATCTGCTGCTATGTTTACATGATAAAAGGTGTCAGTGAATACGTCTGCATGCACATTACATTTCTTAGCTTCTTGAAGGGACTTTTTGGAGTGACTCTATATGCTGCCCATTGAGATGATTATGCTCTACCCTAACAATTATAAGGTTGTTACAAAATATGTTTAGCTGTTCTTCTTAAGGAAAATAGCGGGGTATCTAAACAATTTACACATGAAAAATGAAAGGACAGATTGGTAAACTGACACAGAAGCCAATTTTATCATTAAAAGCTATGCTAAAGAAAGTAAAGCAGGTATAAATGGCTTCAAATTAGATAAAGATTTGGCCAGTTTGTACTTTTTTTTTACCCCTTTTAAAACTGAGGAGATGACTGGATGTCCAGAGATCTCCCCCGACACTGTCATCCCTCAGAAACACGGTTTCTGTATTGGATCCTTTCCAGTTCTCAGGAATCACCCTTTCTTGAGGACCATAGATGGGTCTCACACATAGATGG